GGGGGCTCGGGGCGGCCTGCGGCGGCGCTGCCGGCGCCTGCTCTACTGGGTGCCGGTGCTCTTCATCGCCAGCATCCTCTGCTGGTCCTACTACGCCTATGTCACCCAGCTCTGCCTGTGTGAGTGGCCGGGGCGGGGCAGGGCAGGGCAGGGCAGGGTCGCTCGGGCGAAGGGCTGCGGGCACCGCCCGGCCCCGGGCATAGGGCTGCAGGCCGGGGGACCCCGGCTGGGGCCCGGAAGGCAGCAACGGTCCTCCCCGCCTCCCCGGGGGTCCCTTGCCCTGGGGCTGCAGCGTGGGGGGCCTCTGCCCCTCGCTCCAGAGACCCCTGGGCAGAGCCGACGGGCTGGGGGGAGTGTGTCCCACCCCGGTGCCCTGTGCAGACAGGAGCCACAGACTGTGGGGCCCAGCGAGCTATGGCATTGTCCTCCTGAGCCCTGCCCCTCCAGCCCCCTGGCCCAGTCCAGTCCCTGCTCCAAAATAAGGTGCTGCAGTTCCACAGGTGTCTCGTGTGTTTAGCCAGGGAGGGCCGTTTCCCCTCAGCTCCTCACTTTTCTAGCTAAGAGAGCTGGAGAAAACGAAGGAGATGTGGAAGATTCGGGCTCGCCACAGTCTGCCTTGCGCGGCTCCCAAGCTGACAGGCCGAGTGCGAGCCACGCAGTGAAATGCAGTCTTCTGAGAGTTGGTGACGGGGAAACTTGAGTCTTAAGACAGTGCTTATTCACTGGAGGTGGCGCTGTGTCCCCTGAGCAGCATTGACAGGGAAGGGGAAGAGATGGTGTGAAATAGAGTGGGGGTTTTTTCTTTTTCCTGGACTTCTTTAACAATCCAGCTGGACCCTCATTTACCAAATAAAATGTAGAAGTCCGGACTTTTCTGATCTGTACTGGCATTGTTGACTGCCCAATTGAAGAAAACTAAGCTTGATGCTTTCTCTAGGTAGAAACAGCCTTTTCTTTCCACGTAAGGCAATATTTAATCATAGTTTAAAAGTTGGGTATTTTGAGTGTATGATTAGTTGAACTTGGCTTCTTCCATATTTATAGTTTGTGAAGCTTAGAAGGAGCCTAGCTAATCAGACTTCTTGAGGAAGGCAATCCAGAGGACTTCCTTTGAGTTAGTTCATGTTTGATCTATAGCAGGTGTGTGAAGGCAACAGCCCATTTTATTTTAAAAAAATAGCATATGAGCAAACATTTTTGGACAGCTTGCTGGACTTTTAACTTCCATTCAGCTGCGTATCTCCACAGACCTCTATTGTAGGTTGAACTGGTAGAGCAATCTATAGTTAATTTCAACTATCTTTTGAAACAAGTTTTGCTCTAGTTGATAGGTCTGCTAAACCCTAATGCTTTGGGCTGAAATTTCCACTGCTGAATGTCTGCCTCAGACTGAGTCTCTTTTTTTTGTTTTTTTTAGAAAGTCATAGAAAATAAGTTTCAGACACTTCCAAGAATGCGATGCAGGAAAAATTCATCCTTCTGTCCTTGTTTTACTTCCCTCCTCCCCACCCTTTATTTCTTACTAATGTTTTAATTAAATTCTAGCATTTCTGTACTTTGAAACAAGGGGGCTTAAAATTAGGGGCGCACCAATGAAGATTTTCTTGTCCAATACTGATAGCCAATTATTAACCAGCCATATCAGCTGATACCAATCCAATAACTGACTTCCAGAAATACAGCCAGGCAGTGTGGAGAGCAGCTCCCTGCAGGTAAGTCTGTGGAGGGGAAGGGGCATGGGGGAGGGAAGACGCATACGGGGTGTCAGATTGAGGGGAGGGAGGGCCAGATGGGAGCATGGTGAGGGAGGGAGTGGGGCAGGGGTTAGGGGCACTGCCCAGCCAGGGTGATGAATGGAACCCAGGGCAGGGACTGAGACAGAGCCGTGTGCAGCTCGTCCAGGGAATCAGTGTCCTGGCGCTTAAAAATGGCAGCGCTTGAACTAAAGCTCATCAAGTGAGTTATTTTTAAGTGTGGGGATGCTTTTAACTGGAGCAGAGCCACTTGGGGAGAGGGCAGATGCAGGCCGCTCACTGTGGACTCGGGGCTCTCCACTCAGCTGCCTTTCCCTGAGCTGCGTGGGGAGAGGGCAGATGCAGGCATAACTCATGACTCGTGCACACATGACTCATGCCCACCCAGCAGCAGGAGGCACAATTCGCCACTCTCACCACTGGAGGGCAGGCAGGGGATGTGTGGCCAACGTAGGGCTCCCGAGGGAAAGGCAGCAGAGCAGAGAGCATGAGCCCAAAGTGGGCAGCCCACGTTTTTCCTGCACACAAATCTGGGAGGGTACATTTCCCCCCCACACACACTTCCTGCACCCCCTGGATGAGCCACCCGCAGCTCTGTTCTGCTCCCTGACCCTGCCCTGGGTCCCATTCACTGCCCTGGCTGGGCAGCATCCCTAGCCCCTTTCCTACTCCATGCCTCACTGTGGGGGCCTTGATCTGCCCCTCTGCCAAGCTCCTTCCCCTCCACAGACTTACCTGCAGGGCACTGCTCTCCATGCTGCCTGGCTGCATTCCTGGCCACATGCATGCTTGTGGCTGTGCGCATGCACGCTGCATTTGAGGGCCTCGGCCAGAAGGCATATTGTATTTATTCGTGACATTATTGGCTACACTGGCCAAAAAAGGCAGATAGCCGATACTATTAATTTTCCATTTATCCTTTTTTTCATTAGGGAAATGATCTTGGTGCAAGGGACCTGCCCTTCACAGTTTCCACAAACAAGCCCAAATTTGGTAGGCTTTAGAAAAATCTCAGTTTGCGTATATTCCAGAGAGGCTGGATAGAGTAAGGGTTAAGATTGCCAAAGACTCCATCTCTGTTGTTTTGTTTGATGTCCTTATCCATGAACTTAGAGCATGGCTATAACTATCACTGTAATACTGGTTAGACACTCTTATGTTCTGCATGAGATCCCTTCTGGTAGCATATAGGAAGAAGCTGCCTGCCTTGATTGTAAAGGAAACAGGAACTGGACGTGGAGTTGTGAAAGGGAAACAGGAATAGGTTCTGTTGTGTTATAATGAAGACCTCAGGAGCAGGAGAATTGGACCAAGCTGCAAATGGGGAGACGTAATGCAAAGCTGTCCAACTTCTGAGTGGTCAGGGGCCAAACACTCCCAGGATGCATGTTGTGTGGCCATGTGCTGTGCTGGTGTTCCTGCATGGGCCCCTTTTGGCAGGGGCAGGAAGTGGAAACCAGTGGAGAAAGTAGGAGCCCAGAGGTAACGGTGGGAGGAGTGGTACCTGGACCACCCTGTGGGCTACAAGTTAACTCCTTGAGGGCTGCATGCATACAACCCCAGGCTGCCAGTTGGACAGCCCTGGCATAATGCATATGTTCCACTGGGTCCCATTTAAGAACCATGATTCCAGCATTTTATAACTTTTTGGGATGCTTGACTTTGCAAACTTATTGTTCAGGCTTTCTGTATGTAATTTAATGTAACTCAAGGAAAAATGACTTTCCATTTAGGTGTTTGTGTTACTAAAATTCAGTAACTAAATACTTTCCCTACAGGATTTAATAAGAATGATACACTTTAAAGTAAATTCCCAAATGCTTTCAGCCCCAATTTTTCTCTGGGAGCTGGTACAGTAGCTCCAATGGAGTTGTAAATGTAGAGCTTGGGACTGGTAGGTGTGAGATGTTTCAGAGCCGGTGTAGAGACAGCATCAAAACTCTAAAACAGATTCAGCCAAATTAAAATGGAGCAGTGATCTGAAACACCAAAATGAATCACTGTCCTCTGAAATGGCTGAATCTAAAATCGAAACGAGACATAGCCATTTCACACAGCCCTAATAAATATCCCTGTCAGGCCTGTGCTTGATGACTCTGCCTTGAGGCTTGAGGTCACACCCTTTTTCTTCGGTGTGTGGGGGTCACACCAACCTCTAGTGGAAAAAATTGTGTGGAAGAGAATGTGTGAGAAAGCCATAATGGTCCAGGAGCTGAGAGAGAGGCAAGGATTTTTATGGATGGTATCTTATTGGACCAACTGTGTGGTTGGGATGTCTATATACATCTGTGGTACCTTCACTGAAGAGTTATCCGGATTCATAAAAACTAGCCTGAAAACACTTGTCACACAAAGAGCAAGTTTTCTGCCAGACACAGCAAACTTCCTCAGGAAAAGTCAGAACATCAACCATCTCTCTGGAAAGGCCATACTTGCAAGCATGGATGTCACCAGCCTGTACACTAATCCCAGGCCACAAAGACACATTTGTGTGCCTAAAATACCTCTAAAGAACATGGACTACACTCGTATTTGGAAGAACATTTTGTACAAATCATCCACTTAATCTTCAGCCACAGCAACTTCACTTTTAACATTCGGTGTTTCCTCCAAATCATGGGCACAGACATGGGTGCAAAGATAGCCCTTTAATTTGCCAACCTCTTCACAAGCCACCTGGAGGAGGAATTTTTAGAAAATTGCACCATCAAACCTGCTTGCATTGCATAGATAATGTTTTCATCATCTGGACTGAACACCTGACTTCTACCACAAGTTTAATAACCGTTAGCCCTTGATCAAACTTTTTGGAATGTTTCTACATTTCACATCAGCTAGATACCATGATCCACAAATGACTATACACAGAAATCCCATGGATCACCATACCTATGTCCACAAAACCAGCAATCATCCCAATGGCACCAAAAAAGCTGTAATATACAGCCTGGCTCTCAGATACCACTGTATCTACCCTGAGGAGAATACTTATGACACCCACCTTGCCTTTATACAATGAGGACATTCCAGTAGAGAAATAGGCATTATTTTTTAAAGAGACACCCAAATACATCGCAGTAATCTGCTACAACAGAAAAAGGAGATCCCCCGGGACTGCACATCCTTGGTGGTCAACTACCCCTCAACACTTGAACCAATAAGAATCATCATCAAACAGAGCCTATACTCAATAAAGATCATAACTTGAGAGAAATATTCCCAGAACCTCTGCTCCTGACTTTCAAAACAACCTCTGAACCTTGCCGAATTCATCATCAGAAGCAAACACCACACTGTTCAAGAGACATCAGATGGGACGCAACCTTGCCTTAGCAATAGATGCAGAACCTGTCAACTCATTTTCA